AATAAAAATCAATGATTCATTTAATCTGTCAGCATGGCATGAGGTTAATGGCAGATTTCTAACAGAAATGTTTTATAGAAAGTAATGTTTTATAGAAGTGTTTTATAGAAAATTGTAGAATAAAAACTAATATTTATATCATGTGTTAAAGATTATGAAGCATTTTCAAGTATATTATCTCAAAAATATGACCCAAGTTATCATCATATTAAATGAGTACAATTAGAACAGATGAAAAAACAAAGGCATAGAGAAGTTAAATAACATCTTAATTAAGTGGGAAAGCCAGAATTAGTCTTCTAACTTCAAATATTTTACCCATTCTTGGTTTTTCCACAATTTTTAAATTAGTGGTATAAAATTTAATAAATCCATAATGACCAATTCTTATATTTTCTTCACTTCAGTAATTAAATGGCATAGGCTAAGCATTGTAATTAGAAAACTAATAAAAAAAATTTTAAATACCAATGATGTGCCTTTAAATTTAGGTTTCTTACTATACTCTTTTATATCTGTTGCCAAGAACTTTTCCTCAAGGTAATTACCAGTCATTATTCTCTGTGATTGCTATGAGCATGTCACAAACATTATCATTACTCTAATTACAATATAGTTAGCCAAAGCTAAATTGTTACATTTCAGTTCAATTCACTGTTTGTTTTGCAGACTATTTATAGATATGACAGATGGAATTTGATATACTTTTCAGAAGCTGATATAAAAATTAAAAGGAACAAAATGGACAAATCAGTAAGGGCTGCAGCTGCTAAAGGGCAACTCCCCTAGAATTTTAAAGACACTTGCTTTCAAAATAACCACTGAATAAATTTCTATAACATTCTCAAAATTAATACTGCTGAGAGTGAATGTACTTTGAAGAAGCAATTGCAATTTTTTTGGGGGGGATGAAAGGATTATTTTTATTGCAATTCTTTATTGTGGTGAAATACATATATCGTAACATGAAAGTTGCCATTTTAATCATTTTTTAAGTGTACCATTTAGTGATGCTGATTACTTGACAACCATCACCACTATTTCCAAACTTTTAATCACCTCAAATGGAAACTGTACTCTTAGGCAGTAACTTCATTCCCCTCACCCAAGCCCCTGGAAACCCCTAATCCACTTTGTTTCTATGAATTTAACTACTCTAAATATTTGGTATAAGTAGAATCATACAATATTTGTCCTTTAGGTCACTGGCTTTTTTCACTTAGCATAATGTTTTCAAGGTTCATCTATGCTGTAGCATGTATTAGAACGCCATTCCTTTTCATGGCTAAATAATATTCCATTGTATACCAGTTTTGTTTATCTGTTGAACCATTTGATTCTTTCTACCCTTTGGCTATTTGTAAATAATGCTGCTGTAACTATTAGCATACAAGAACCTGTTTTGAATCCGTTTTCAAATCTTTGGGGTACATACCTAAGAGATGAATTACTAAATTATATAGAAGTCTGTTTAACTTTTTGAGAAAGCATCAAACTGTTTTTCACTGGGGCCACACCGTTTTCCATTCCCACCGGCAATGTAGAGGGTTCCAAATTCCCACATCCTTGCCAAGACGTACTTCCTTTTTTTTAAATACAGCCATCCTAGTAGGTGTGAATTTTTAAATTGGGTGTTTGTCTTTCTGTTGCTGAGTTGTAGAAGTTCTGTATATATTCTGATTCTAAACCCTTATCAAGATGTGTGATTTGCAAATATTTTTCTCTCTTTTTGTGGGTTGGGTTTCACTCTCCTGAGTCCTTTGATTAATATTTAACTATAGTAAAATCTGACAACTTTCTTCTTTATGGTCTCTGCTTTAAGTGATATGTTTAGAAAAGGCTTTCCTGATTATTACCAAACATTTTTTAAAGTAATTTTATAATTTCATTTTTAACAGTTAAATAATTATATCATATAGAACATATACTGCTATATGATATAAGGAAGGAAATGGACATAAGTGCCCCTCTCAATGTTAGAATATTTCCAAATCTTAATATAACTCTAAGGGGAATAGATTTACCTTAATTACTAAGTAGACATCCAAACCAATCATCCTTATCTAAAATAGGAAAAGTACATTTTTATATTTTAGAAATGCTGCTCTCAGAAAGTATCATTTCCACTCAGTTTAGGAATTAGATATAGAAGATGAGTTACACGTAAAGCATTTCAGGAAAGGAAAAGAAAAGTACATATGAAGATCCAAAAGACAGAGATTCATTCCCAGATCCATGAAAGATATACCTGTATTGACCAATCTGCTTTCCTCTCACAAAACAGAGAATGATTTCCTTGAGGGGAGCCCAAAAGACAATTCTAATTCCGTGGCAAATATTTTCCTACTCCTGGCAGCATGTGCCTGCATAATTTCTCACTGACAGATTCAACAGTGATCCCCATACATAAAATTGAGACATAGTTATTTCTACCTCTTTTTTATTACTTCATTATGAAGTTATTAGTCTCACAAATAGTCCAAACATATTACACTAGAGACAAAGTCACAACTTCTACTATTTGTTTTCGTTTCCAGCTCTTTTAAGAGAGAACACTACTGAGTACCCCGGGGAAGGTTTTCCTGTCCATTTGGAGGATTAAGTTGGCTTGGCCGCAGTTTCCTGGAGTGTGTGAATGAGCCCGTTTACCAGTGAACTAGATCCCTGCTACCTGCTTCAGCTTCCCAGATAGATGAGAACAAGTATATACAAATTCTGATTTACAAAATGGAGATAAGCAATTCATCAGATGCAGAGTTCAGAAAACGGGTCATAAAGTTGCTCAAGGAACTTGGTGAGATATTCAGGGGACTTAGTGAGACCTTCAAGGAACTTAAGGTGACCTCCAAGGAACTTAATGAGAACGTCAACAACATAAAAAAGGACCAGTCAGAAACGAAGGATGCAATAACTGAAATAAAGAATAATTCACAGGGATTCAATAGTAGAGTAGGTAAAGCCAAGAAGCAAACCATCAATTGGGAATATAAGGAAGCAAAAAACACCCAATCAGAACAGCAAAATGAAAAAAGAATCCAAAAAAATGAGGATAGTGTAGGAGCCTCTGGGACCAATGTTCACATCATAGGGGTACCAGAAGGAGAAGAGAGAGGCCCAGAAATTGAAAACCTATTTGAAACAATAATGACAGAAAATTTCCCTAACTTGAAGGAAACAGACATATAAGTCCAAGAAACATAGAGAGTCCCAAAGAAGATGAACCCAAAGAGGTCCATACCAAGACACATCATCATCAAAATACCAAAGGTTAAAGACAAAGAGAGAATCTTAAAAGCAGCAAGAGAAAAGCAGTTTGTTTCCTACAAAGGAGCTCTTATAAGACTGTCAGCCAATTTCTCAAAAGAAACTTTGCAGGGCAGAAAGGACTAGCAAGAGATATTTAAGGTGATGAAAAGCAATGACCTACAACCAAGATTACTCTATCCTGCAAACTTATCATTTAGAATCGATGGACATATCAAGAGTTTCCCTAACAAGAAAAAGCTAAAGGAGTTCATCACCACCAAATCAGTATTATATAAAATGTTGAAAGGTCTTCTTGAAGGAGAAGAACAATAAAAATATGAACAATAAAATGGCAATATCTGTCAACAATTGAATCTACAAATAAAATGAGCAAGCAGAACAGAAACATACTCATAGATACAGAGAATTTTTTGTTGCTTGCCAGATGGGCGGGGGTTGGGGCGATGGGTGAAAAAGATGAAGGAATTAAGAAGTACAAATTGGTTGTTATACTAATGAACCTCAAAAGGAAGGGAGGAGGGGGGGAAGGATGAGAGAAACCAAAGAACTTCTATGCATATATGCATAACCAGTGAACACCGACAACAGTGTGGAGAAGGCAGAAGTGGGGCAGGATTGCGGAGGAGGGTGGTCAATGGGGAAAAAAAGAGGGGCCATCTGTAATACATTCAAGTAAAAAGATAAGTGAAAAAAAAAAAAGAGAGAGAGAGAGAACTACTGATAAACCCGTAATTTATTTAAATTCTGTAAGTTACACATTTCTACATAACTATTTATTATTCTTAAAATGTCAGTTCCTTCAAAGAACAATTCTAAAGATCTAAAAAGAAAATCACCCCCTCTCCAGACAAAATACTTTCTCCTCAAACAAAGGGACTCACTTCTACCAGTCTCACATAACAGTTGGTATAGTCCTCACATTATATTCCAAGTACATCTAAGTATGCCAGCCTGCTAGCCTAGGAGCTCCCTGGATTCAGACTAAGTCCTACACATTCTTTCCCCATCTCCAAGTTCTTTCATCCAAGAACTTCGCACAGAGCCTAGTAAATAACAGACACTGATACTTTCTTCTATAAAAAAAAAAAAAATTTTTTTTTCTTTATTCATTTTAGAGAGAGGAAGGGAGAGGGAGAGAGAGAGATGAAAACATCAATGAGAGAGAACATCGATTAGCTGCCTTCTGCATGCCTCCCACTGGAGATTTGACCAGTAACCTGGGCATATGCCCTGACCAGGCATCAAACCAGCAACCTCTTGGTGCTCAACCACTGAGCCACACCGGCCAGGCTGATACCTTTTTTTAAAATTAATGACTAGACATAGCTTGTCCAAGAGGAATAGCCCCTGTTTCTGATCATTTAAAATACTCATTTGTTCTTCACATTCCTTTAGTAAATACCTACCCCTTATTTACATGAAGATATGCTTTATAAACAGGGGCTTAAAGTACAACCCTTGGAAAACGCCCTACCATATTTAACAAAGTACTTACACATGCATGAAATAAAATACTCTTGTGAGACAGGTTGTTAATGTTTCCATTTTACAAGTAGAAAAACTGAAGCTACAAGAGATTAGAAAAACTTGCCAAAGGTAACAGCACTAGTAAATCACAGGGTTAGACACTGGGAGCTTCTCACTCTACATGTAGTGTATTTTCACGACATCAAGCCAAAGTTTTTACACAAATAATCTGTTAACAAAGCAACAGTTGTACTAGAAATACTTACACTGACCCCAGCGACCTGTTCTTGGGTTTAAATAATTTGGATAAAGACCATTTGGACGATCCATTTTCTGAAGTAGTTTCCGAATGTGCATGACCTAAACAAAATAAAGAATGCAATTAACAAAAATAAATGTTATCATGCCTTTATACTAAACCAAGCTTTGTGGTTTTTCCTTACTCAGAACCTTCATACCTCCCCTGCCTTTTTTTGTAAGTGTGGTGGTCAAGAAAAGCTACTATTTGCAAGTGCCTCGTTTTCATGATGACATATAATCATTATTTAAAAATCACACAACAATAAAAATACAAAGCAAAATTCCACTCGAGTTTTGATAGGCATTGAACTGACGCTACAGATCAAATTTGTAGATGACTGACATTCTTATGATATTGTTTAACTATACATGAGCGTGATATATCTCTCCATTAAGGTCTTCTTCACTAGTATTCAGCAGTTTTAAACTTTATCATTTGGTAGATTTATGTGTAGAAAAATTACATTTTTGATTCTACCACATAATATGTTTTTGTAAAATGATCCTTTCTTGCCTGTGGCTGGTGCTGAGAAATGCTACTGATTTTTAATATCTATATTTAAAAAAACATATTAAGCTCTTATTTCTAATAATTTAAATGTAGATTATCTTAATATTTTAGGTAGATAATCATGTAATTTATGATTAATTACTATTTTCTCCCTTTTCAAGTCAACTTAATTTCTGAACTTTTTAATTTTGTTTTTCTTGCCTTACCATGCTGGCTAGGAATTTCAGCACAATGCTGAATAGAGATGGCAATGAAATTTTTAAAAAGCCTACTAGTGGTTAAAACTTCTCAAATAACAGTAAATATTTTAAATATGTTCTAAATAGAAAAGACATTTCTTTAGGTAATTTAAGAAGAAAAAGAAGGTCACAGTCCTAATGCCCTAATAAACATATTTCTAGAAAGGCAATCATTTTCTAAGCATTAATCAAGTCTTTTGGTAAATCTCAAAGGACTCTTTTTTTTTTAATATGGAACGCTTCAAAATATGAGTGTCATCCTTGTGCAGGGGCCATGCTAATCTTCTCTGTATCACTCTTATTTTAGTATATGTGTAGCCTAAGCGACTCTTTTATAACAAACAAAGAAAAGAAAACTAACCTTTTTGTAGTAAACCGGGTTCCCTGTCAAGTAGCTTAAGTGGACAAACTCCATATGCAGTGTCCCAAATTCAGCAAGAATGCTGCTACCTGCAGATGCCCAGCCCCAGTTCCTCCCGACTCCGCTGAGTAAAAGCAAAGGGAAAAGGAGATAGAATTGGAAAAAGACAACATTTTAAAAATGAATACATAAACTTTAAATAAATCTCTTAGGAATTATTATATCTAACACAATAGTTTATTTACATCTAAAATTTTATTTTATTATTTTTAAAAATTTTGAATAGACACTATATCCACGTTTTAAAAATTAAAACTACATAGAAAAGTATATAGTAAATATATTTCATCCCAGAAATCTCATCTCTCTTCACACCACCAAGCCTCATAGATAATCACTTTCATTAACTTATGTGCTGGCACAGAATTTTTATGCGTATATAAGCAATCCAAATATATATTCTTATTTTCCTCCTTTCTTAAAAAAAACACATCAAAGTATACTTACTGCTCTGTACCTTGCATTTTACTATTAAGATGTACCTCAGTGGTCTTTCCACATTAGTTCATAAACAACTTTCTTTTTTGTTTTTTTACGGCTATACAAAATTACATGATAGTAAAGATTTTCAATTGGAATGTCCCACACCAGAGGCCTATGAAAATGTGTGAGAGCATTCTGAGTTGTCTCAAACCTTGAAGGTGCAACTTGCATTTATTGTGCTGGGGCCAAAGATGTAACATTTCCTGTAATGGTTAGGACAGTATCATAAAATAAAGAACCGTCCAGCCCCAAATGCTAACAGTGCCAGTGTGAACACGATTACATTATATGAGTAGATATAATTTAATCAATCCCCTATGGGATTGCTAGCATATTTCTAATATTTTGCTATTATAAAAATTTACAGTGAATAATCTTATGTACATTTCTTTTGTGCAGATGCATTGCTAGAATACCTTCTCATCCTTTTTTTTAAAGCTTGCCTTACAATTTTTATTGGAAGCCAGATAATGTAAATGAAAAAATGTTGAGGCTTTGGGCATTATCTTCTTTCTAGGAAGGTTAAGTTTCTTTTGAAGCACAGGTTGAATACCTTGGTTTTAGGCTTTGTTAAGGATAGTCTATTTTAGTTTTATCTCTACTTCTAAGGAGTGACCCTTTGAGACTCAGTTGAAAGCCTGGAGTGTTTACTAAGGGACCTCCTCCTTGGCGTCCTTAAACTCTAATTTCTGTCTCCCTAGTAGCATGTGACTGTTAAATTTTCTTCTTTGCCCCTTAGCCTCCAAATGCTGTTTACTGTTGGGTTTCATGAGTCTTGCCCTATGCATGTACATTTACAGAATCAGCCAACAACTTGAGGAAATTTTGTACATAAAATTTTGGGCTTTTCCTCTGCAATTCTTCCCTGTCATGAGATTTTGTGCCTCAGGCCTCAGTCATTTTGGCAGCTCCAAGACCTGACCACTGTCTGCCTCCTCTGCCCCACAAATGACCACCACGTTAGGCTTGGTCTCTCTTGTCCTGTACTATGACTTGGAAAATGCCCTCGGAAAAAAAAAAAAGCCAATGTTTATACAGAAATGACCTAGTCCTAGGAAGTCCTATCTGGATTAGTTGCTCCCCAATACCCCCAAACCATTTTGTTAATCTTTCATGATTGTTTTTGGTGGTAGGGTTAGTCTGATACAAGCTATTCCAAGGTTGGAACTAGAACTCTAGATTAAATTATTCAAGTAGCAAAGTTATCCTGCTAGAACTATAAACCATTCTCCAGGGTCTTTTCTACTTTGAGGACAAACAGAAATGTAAGTCTTTCATTTTATACCCACTTGTATACTGCCAATGCAATATACCATACCTTATTCATCTGTGTTGAGAAAACATTAAAATAAACATAAAGATATATCGCTACCTCACTAAAAGTTCTTTAATTATTTGGGGCAGTTTTTACACTGTCTTCGAAAATATGGTACCACTAACAGATTTTTGTGTGTACTAGAAGTAAGAATCAGGGAAGAAATATGGATACATATTAGTAAGTAACTCCAAAGGACAGCCACCTCATTTCCAAATATTAAGTACCTACTATGATCTGGGAGACAGAGTAGTGAGCCTGACATATAACATTCCTGCTCCCATAATAAATAAGACCATTTTCAATAGTGATAATTATTAAAAAAAATTAAATAGAGAAACAGAATAGTGGGTACTAGTGAAGAATGTGAGTTAGAAGACAGGCTCTTTATGTATAATGTTCAGAGAAAGTACTTCTGAAAAGACACAATTGGACTTGAGAACTGAATGATGTGAGAAAGAGCAAGTGATAACTAGATCTGGAAGAAGAGAATTCCCAGCAGCGAAACTGCGCATGCACTGACCCTGAGGGAAAAGAAGGTGGCCAGTGCGGCTAGAGCTCAGGAAGGGGAAATGAGTGTCAGAGAGTGTAATCCAGGCTATGTAAGAATTCTGTAAGGTCAAACTAAAATTTTTAAATTTTTATTCTGAGTATAATGAAAAATCATGAGGGATTTTAAGAAATGTAACATAAGATTCATTAAGGAATAAAGCATGCCATTTAGAAAGATTATCTAGGCATCAGCATAACAGTGTGGTCAAGTATAAACACAAAGTCCTCAGTAAGTCCAACAGCTTATTCTTCCCTTTATGGTCAAAAGTCCCAAAATGAAAGTTTCATTCATAGTGCATTCAAACACTTCTCAGAATACTATATTTTAAACAAGGGTTTCCATGCATTTTATACATAGCTTCACCAGAACAATCTAAAATGTTGATACCTATATACAGTCTAACAATTCAGAAAAAATAAGAAAATCCCTAAGAACAAGATATAATATTTATGAGGACAGAAAAGCTCCAACTATATAAAAAAGGTGATGAGCTGCCCAAAATCAACCAGCACAATTTCAGGCAAATGCCATAATTTTTCAACTTGAATTTTTATATTCACATATTTACTCTTTCAGCTGCTCATTTCTTTTTCTTTTTTAAAAAATCCTCACCGGGGGATATGTTTGTATTGATTTTTAGAGACAGAGAAAAGAGGGTTGAGGGGGCAGGAGAGAGAGAACAGCAATTGGTTGCCTCCCGCAGGTTCCCTGAATCCACAACCTTCTGGTGTACAGAATGACACTCCAATCCAGCCAGGGCTGCTCTTAATTTCTTTATGTAGATCTGCCTTTCCTATCCAGTGTCATTAAAAAGTCCAACATTTCTGATAATAGAGGCATCCTTGAAATAAATTCTCTAAGCTTTTTATTTGGCCAAAAATGTCAATTTCACTTCAGTTTTGAAAAATAGTTTTAGTGGTTATAGAATTTGAGATTGACTTTCTTTCAGCACTTTCAAGATGTACTCTATTGTCTCCTGGTTTGCATTGCTGTGGACACAAAGCAAGCAGTATTGCTAACCCTGTTCCTTATGCATGTCTTTTTTTATTCTGGCATGTTTTTTTAAATTATTATTTTATTTTTTTCCATCACCATTTATTCTCTCTATGACCTCTTCCACATCCACCATCCCTGTCCTCTCTAAATGGAGCCACTTTAAAATGGAGTCTGAGATGCCATCCCAGAGGAAGTCCCTTGCACGTCATGTCTCAAACCTTTGGATGTTAAAACCCCTTGGACGGGGCCTAAAGCAACACTGTGCCCCAAAGAACTATTTGCAAGGATAACAAGAAAGCAGATGTAATGACTATCAAACTGATGATTAAAGAATGAAAATAAAAAAACATTGTTTGGAGTTAGCAATACTATGTTGGCTTATATCTACTAATAGCAATGCCTTCCTTCTATTGATATAATTGTTCCCCTTTCCTTTCTCATAAACATCCCTTGCCTTTGCCTCCTAATCGGAACACTATTTGGGCTTCTGCCTGGATCAGTGCTTTCCATATAGCTATTCTTATTGACCTCAAATAAATACTGTTTATTCTGGTAGTTTTTAATACTTTTTTCTTTTTCACTGATTTTCAGCCATTCATTATGTTTCTTTATATTTATCTTATATGGGTTATATCAAGAGTCTGGATTCTGTGGGTTAATAATTGTTCATCAAAATGAGAAATTTTGGGTCACTGCTTCTTCAAATAGTTTTTCTTTCACTCCTCCTGCCCAACCCCAAAATCACTCAATTATATGTATGTTAAACATTTGATATTGTCCTACAGATCACTGGCTACATTCCTTTTATTTTTCTCTCTGTGCTTCAGTTTGGGTGGTTTTTAATGCTACGTCTTCAAGCTCACTGATCTTTCCTATGCAGTGTCAAATCTACTGGTAAGCTTGTCAAGTGAATTCATTTCATGTATTTCTCAGCACTAGAAGTTCCATTTGATCCTTTTAAAACTCTCTCTTCTTCTCATTATGTTTACATTTCCCTTTAAGTCCTTGAGCATACTTATAATACCTATTACCTATTACTTAATGCTACCTCCATCATCTCTCTTATTTCTTTGGGTGTTTCTATTGACAGTGGTTTTTATCTCCTAATTATGGGTTATATTCTTTGCATAATTAATAATTTTTAAAGGATTCTGGACAGTATGAAAATATATTACTGAATATCTGAATTTCATTTTTTTTTTCCTTTAAAGCATTTTCAATTTACTTTTGGCAGTTAAATAACTTGTGGATAGCTTAATTCTTTCACGAATTGTTTTTATGCTTTGCTAAGATAGGACTACAGCTGCTTTTACTTTAACTAAGATATGACCTTTCCATAGATTCAATCCAGTATCCCCAGTGTTCAAAAAGATGTTTTCATTTTTAACAGGCCAATTTGGTCAACTTCTTTATATTCTCATGGTTTTTTAGTTGACCATCTTTTTTTCCAAGAAAGCAATCACATGATCTGTAATTATTTATAATTTTGTTTCCAGTCCATTATCTTTATTTTATTCCTTTTCCCTATTTGGTTACACTTGTTAAAACCTCCGGAAAAATGTTAAACACAGTCGTGTTCTTGATTTTAATATGATGTCTCTAATATGTCATTAAATGTTTTGTTTAATAAAGACCTATTTTTAAATATAATGACAAGTAAATAATACATACACACCAGGGCATCTATGCATATATGAATAGGACAGTCAAGAAATTT